TGTGTGTGCGCCGAATTCAATCTCAGATAGTAACTTGGTCGTGCTGCCAGGTTACTCGAGTTTTGAATGTGTTTTAGCTATAATGTAACCTAAATAAATAAGTAAGCAACTTGCTAGCTTTATATTAAGTAAGCTTGATAACCGCAACTAAAAATCCAATCCGAGGAAATTCCATAAGACTCAAATAACATGCTTCCTAAGCCAAGAGTTCAATTGTAGGGCCCATGGCTGGTCAACAGTTCCCTCAGGTTGGTGGGAGCGTTCAGCATCAGTCTTCTTTGGGTGGACCTATGCAAATGAACTACCAAGGGCAGCCGCACGCAAGTCAATCAGCCCAGCAGGCTCAACAACAACCGCGTAATACTATGGGACAGTTTGCGTCCAGGGATGGAACCATGAATATGGAGTACCAGCCGAGTACGGACTTTTAAAGTCCTTCAGTATTTTCCAAGAGTAAACGAATGAATGTCTTTAGGTGGCCGAGGTGGTCGGCAAGCTATGCAGATGAGTCAACAGTTAGGGCCGCAAGGAGGAATGGGTCGCGGCAGCATTCCTGGTGGCCAGATGACCGGCCAAGGCCATATGGGCTCACAACATATCCCTGAAGGCCAACAGGTGATGGGCCAGCAGCTTGGTGGGCATACCATGACTGCTCAGCAAATGTCTCATCAAATGGGACAATCTTCTATGTCAGGTCAACAGTACTACATGCAGCAAGATCAGCGGTAAGTGAATGTTTCCATTTACATTGAATTTCCGTACTCCTCACCAAAGTATCGGCAAAGTTTTCAGGATTATGAATCCGCAATACAATCAATCCCAGTACCAACCAAACAACCAATTTTAATGCATTCATTCACTATTGCAAGTTTTATCATCGCCATTGTAACAGTCAAGTTAGGGATTTTTTTCGTGTCAGATAGAGTCATTAAACGCACGTGATCTTGATAGTGTCCTCTTTGAGCGGGTATCATATATTTTGACTTTGTTAATTTGTCGTTACAATTTTCTAAGCATAATTACTTCATTAGGTATCACTTACTATCCTACTTGTTGCAATGATTTGTAA